CCACAGATTCCTAGTACTGACTACTTCAAACTATGGACATCTCAGTCCTTGTTACATTTGATGCCTTGTTGGCAGTGAAAAAACTCGGCTTTGTCCACCGAGGATGATCTTGAAACAAGGAAAAAGTTAGTTAGTTAGTCTTCATCTATGTGATTCCTAATCTTCTATTCGTTGTTCCCTAGTTTGAAATGGTTAAGACTAGGGTTCTGACTATCGGTCATCATCGGTTTCATTCCTTAATTTTGTTGCTAAGGAAAATTTTAACTGACAAAGGGGTGCGCCTTTGGAAAGTGTTTCAACACTCCGAAGGGTATAAATAGCTGGTCCTTTCCATTAGAGTCGGATCCTTCCAATAAATGCAAGAATGGAAACTGTAAAAAAGATCGAATACTTCATCATTTCTCAATAGTGATGGAGTAATACGAGGGAAAAAGCGATCTCTTACGAAAAAGGCAAAAAACAAACTTACTAACGAATATTCTATCATTTTGCATTCGGCTGTAGAAATTTATTTCGATTCAAGTTGGTCAACTTTCAGAACAAGTAGTTCAATCGTGAGCAATGCAAAGTAAGAAAATTACATGAAAGCTGAATACTGTGAAGTGTGCGCCCATTAAACTAGACATTGTTCTGCATCAAAACCGTACAGTTCACTGCATCCATGCCACAATAAAAGCGGAAAGAAGTCCAAACCAAACTTGAATGTAGCACCACACGAACGGATCGGAAAGCGAGTGCTCTTTCGAATCACCTTGGATATTATAATTAAGATATTAATCTGTAATAGGCATGTTTGCGCTCTCTGGCAAAAATGTATTCAATCTCTTCTAGTGGTGCACACGGTGTATACATATGCATATGGAGCACAAGCCACAATAACATCTGAACGTAGAACGATCTTGCTGCAATTGGTAAACTTTGTATGCCACCACGATTTGTATGTCATAATGTCGCGGCGGGGCCGTCCATATTTGTAAGTGGTACAAATGGCTGTACCGGAACAAATCGCATGCACGCTCGGATATTTGGTACAGGAAAGAAAACTGGTAGTGTGCTGCATGCCGGAGGTCCAGCTATCGTGGTTCGATTCAAACCGGTTATGAAGGAGAAACATCTGCAAGGGATACAATCAAATTTGGACTCATTAGCATCTGGTTTCTATTTAATTTCCAGAACGTTAAATCATAATTAAACAATTGAAAATTAAAATATTAAAATCAAGTTCCCAATAACAATAGAAATCGATACAAACAGCAAACATCAAATCACGGAAGAATATGTAATCGTTCAGTGAAGGTTTTCCGGAACCTAAGTGGAGGTCAACCTTTCATCGGGTTAAATTCGTTCAACCGTAGCAGTGAACGTGTTTTCGAGTTTGGTGTCTGTTATTAGGACAACAAAACCCGTAGCAACCATTCGATTCGATCCGCTGACCCGAACCGTGTCGAAGCAAAGTTTTACTCTTTCCATCGTCATTTCTTCGATCCGATCGCTGGCTGCTGTTCCGTATGGCAGTCGATTTTAACGGATCTCCCCCCGGATAGGCTGAATTGACCACCTGAACGTAACGTAAGCATAATGAATATACTACGCCCGATTGCTACCAGTTGGTCTTGATTGGTGATCGAATGGGTGGTTATTGTGTGAATGCTATGGTGCTCTTCCTTCGGATAGATGGATTTTGATTTCATTTCCACGGAGGATTTATTTTGACTATTCGATACACAATTATGTTTCCAACGGACATCGTGGACTGCACAATTTCTCTAATTCACGTACTGGCAGACAACATGTACGAACAGTTAACAAAAGTTAAACAAAGGCTTGAACGCTTTCTTCCATTTAGCTCATATCAATACACTCTCAAAAATTAATTCAATACAGGTAAAAAATTAATACGTGGAATCAATTTTTGGAAGTTAAATAAGTTTGATAGATATTTAGTGAATAATTTTTCTGACTCGACGCTAGACTTTGGATTTCTTTATAGATTCTCTGACACACAAAATGTCAAAAAGCTATATCATTCAGAAAATATATGATCCACTTAACATTTTAGTTATTAATATTTAAGCTCATAACTGGCTTAGGCATTACTATCCTTCATCTCAAAAAGATCAAATCAGTATGGTCGAATTATTGAACTGGGAATTCTTAAAATAATTCAAAGGAATTTCTTAACATAATTCCTAAGGAATTCTAATTTCATTGGTCTTCCGAGGCTCCATGGTAATTCCAAAAAGAATAACAAAGAAATTTTTAGCATATCTGAGAAAATTTTAAAGAGAATAAGAAGCATTATGTTGATTATTAATTTATTTGATAAGGCTCAATTGAATTAACTTTGCAGAACCGTGGATTCTTGGTCACTATACAATACATCTTAAAACTATAGTCAAAAGGTACAACACAATAAACACTTTATCTTCCGCTATCCAAAAAGTCTCCTCCATCAGAACGGAAGCCGCTTCCAGTGGTTCCATTGTATGGCAGCATCGCCAACGGGGGTCAGAGTGCTTCCATTGCAGCAAGCAATGGACGCAAAACGTGGTCAACATTCATACACTCATCACTAAACGGTTGCTTTCCAAAGTCGACGACGCATCGACTGAAAGAACTGCTGATGAAGAACAATGAGGAGAACCACACAATGGTTGCTGCCGAGAAAACAGACGATCGCGTGGCACACATCGGGAGTGGGCTGTTTTTGTCGACAGCCGAGTGAACACTGAAGAAGCAATATGTAGAGAGAGAGAGAGAGTCTTCCAACCTGCTCTAGTGGACGAGTATCACGTTAATGTAGGATTGCCTCTCCCTTATGTCTGTTCAAATTCCAGTGGTATTGTATGCAGCTCTTCACCTTCCACCACGGCTCCATCGGCCGACAACGCATCTGTTGCAGTTAGGACTGTGAACGTAGCTCATCTCCTGCGCATCTACTATCAGAATGTTCGATGACAACGGACCAATTTGGATTAGTTCTTTTTGTCCACTAGCGAGTGCGATTATGACATCATTGTATTGACGGAGATATGGCTCGAAGACCGTTTATACAACGCTCAGCTGTTCGAAAATGCCTTTTCTGTTTATCGTAAAGACCGTAATTCCTCAAATAGTTGAAAAACCCGTGATGGAGGTGTCCTGATTGCTGTTTCAACGCGTTGGAACAGTTATATCGATCCAACACCTAAGAGATGAACTAGCCTATGGCTAAAAATCTCTATAATAAAGTATTAAAAAAAAAAAAAAAAAAAAAAACGATCCAACACCTATTTCCTGTGGGTTCGCTATGTGTTAGAATCACTACGCCAAGTCGAGTTATTAGTGTAGGCGTGATATATTTACCTCCTGACCGCCACAACGATGTCATTAGTATTCAGGACCATGTGAACTATATCGGTGCTATTGTTTCCATTTTGGAATCCAATGACTATGCTCTGCATCTCGAAGATTTAAACCAACCTTTGCTCCGGTGGAGTAAGTTGGACGATGGGTTTTTCCAGGTTGAGCCTCAATCGGTTCTATCGGCTGCTAGTTCCACGCTTATCGACGGTTTCGCTTTACATGGCCTCACGCAGAACAATGGTGTATTCTTAGTTTTTGGACATTAGGGCTTAACGGCTTTTGTTAAAAATGACTTCTTTCGATGATGTCATGAAAGTCAAGGCTTGCCCACGCAAATAAACATTACCATAAAGTAGGGTAAGACTTCCCCTACCCGACGGTAATGTTGGTTTGCGTGGGCGTGTCTTGAATTCCTAAAAAAAAAACCATCTTCATAAGTCATTGTTTACAAAAGCTGTTACGCCTTATTTCAGTTCTATTTAGATATGTTTAAATCTAACATACCATGTTCTTTAAGGCAACATTGGGGGTATAATTTCAAAAACCAATGTCGGTCGCGGCATGGTAGTGGTCTGATTTTAATCCAGAGATGATGGATTTTCATTCTTAATACGCCAATCGATAGAATTTTTTCTACGAATCTTTAAAAATGAAGACTTTATCATTTTTCAAAATTTCACTATTGAAAATTGCACGAATGTGCAACTGTTGCTATGATAATTAAAATGATCACCGACTGCCTGCGAAAAGCGATTTCCCTAACACAGATTTCAAAGTTGAATTCCATCCGATCTCACCGAACGGTGTTTATTCAATCACCGCGTGGTGAGTGGTGGTGTTCTCCAGTACACAACGAAAGGCTCCATGCAAGCAGCGAGCTACAGCCCACATGAGCATCCATAGAAGGAGGAAGAAGCCGCACCGCTATTGATCGGAATCAGTAGCTCTTCGTGTGTGGACCATCTATGTCAAGCGCGTCATACTAAAGAGTATAAACAGAGAGAACCCCGCTCAAATTCCTATTCCTACACAAAACACAAACTCCTGCTGCAGTTAACAAATAAGATATATTATATCAGACAACGTAGTCCTACGTCACCATTGCGTACAACCCCATAGGGCTGTCCCTTTTAGATTTTTTTTTTATTCTTGACCCCCCCCCCCCCTCCCCACCCGTAGACAATTGTCCATACAAAAAACTTAATTTTCTATAGGCCGTGGATAATTGCAAGTCCTTTTTAAAGTCCAAATTGAAAAATGTCCAGAGCATTGACTCGTACTCGTACTCTAGGATATTTAACATGCTTGAGATGATAGACACAACAAAAATGGGTTATCCCAAACTTATAAACAATTGAAATTACAGCTACCCTTCAAAGATATTTTAACCTCTATGTGCGTAGTGATTTTATAATTGGTTTCTAACGCACCGTGTTAACATGCACATAACGATTAAATGAAACTTCTCTCCATTTGTAAAATCACCTGTTCTTCCTAATTTTTTTCCGCCTTTACTGCTTCGCGCTTTCACATTAAAGTGAAGTTATCAAAAGTTTTATATTTTATTTTATTATTGCGCATAATAATACGCGCTGCGAATTTTTGTAGCTATCTATTTTTCCATAACTAATCAATATATATGCCTCTATTTTCAGATCGTGGAACAACATTATTATAATAAATAAACGAGCATTACCGATCAAAGGGATTCTAATAAAGGTTAGTTCTTTTTTATATCTTTCAATTCTTTGTAGCGACTTAACCTGAAGGAGCATAGAGTGGCCCACTCCGGGCCTCCAGGTGTCATCTTGAATATTTTTACGTTTCAAAATTGAACAACTGAAATGGTATTTTTGCAACCTTTACAGTATCTAGTTATACCTAAGCTAATTTTACTATTTTTTGAAGTCATTATGATGATTTAGGCGTTTTTAAAGCAAGTTTAACATAATCAAAGGGAATTTTAGAGAGATTTGTGGAGAGAAGCTTAAGTGAATTGTTGAATAAGAATAAGAAACAATTCCAACACGCAAAACAAATGGCATGAACATCAACCGTAATTGTGCATTTTGTACATCCTCAATATATATTTTGTACTATATATGAAATGGCAATACTTTGTAGGGACTGTAGCATACAAGCAAGTTTATCCAAAATTAATGTTTTCGTGTAAAACCTTTACCGAGGTTGCACACTGAACACTTAAAATTGTACAATAGACAACGCAGCAAACATCAGCAAGTAGACCAGTAAGAAAATATGCGAAAAGTTCCACCGGCTGGATGGCGAGAATTGAACCCTGACACACATATAATACATCTGATTGACGATGATTTTTTTTTTCATGTTGGGTATATTCATCACTACAACCATTATTTTGATCTTTTGTGTTGTGATATATTGCTTTAACAGTATGTCGTATCACTATTTTTTGAAACGACCGACATAGACTGACCAAAATCATTTCCCAACCAGGTATTACATTTCGAATGAAATGTACTACTTTACTGGGACCTGCATTCCAAATATCAAAGGGCTCTGCCCAGGCTTGTAAGCAGTCACCGTAGTCGACGCATTTTCTGTGATAATCGACTGACTTTGCTTCCGAAATTTGCAACACAAGCTATCAAATTACAGTACCAAACTAAAATGTCATTATGACAGGCTCTGTCATACGACACTGTCGCCGAAGACCGTCACGAATATCTGTATTTTAGTTTTTGTCATAATAAGAGCTGCTGATGTTGTGCTTGTCTGAATTCTGAATTCATGTCATATGATTGTTATTTGATAATTTTATTTTTGCCCGAATGTTGTTCTACCGTTTGTGTTGTGTAAGAGAGAGACGACGGTAGAGCACATGAGAGTACGAATACAAACAAACTGTCGCGCACGACATCGAACTGTTTCAACCCCTGGTTCTGCTAGCCCCTTATCCAGAAAAATACGCCTTTTATTGAACTGATTGCTGTACAAGAGCATGACGGTTGTTTATAGTCTTCCTTTTCTATGCCACATAATCGACACATATCCTCTTGAAGTTTTCCTATTAATTTCAAGCGATATTTACATGGACAATGTCCTGTTATCAAACCAGTATAGAAAGCGTACTGAGATCTTTCTTTGGTTATTCAAGAATTCTGGTAGTGATTGAAATGTTCGGAATTATGAACAGTTTCGATTTCCTAGCAATAAAGTGTTGTTCCAGTTGGTCTCCACTTTCATTTTTTTCCCCATTTCTTGATCGCCATTTTAAGAGAACAAGCAGAAACTTCACATAATGGTTCTAGTCCTAAGAATGGTTGAGATGATACTAGCCTGGCTAACGTGTCGGCATTTTCATTCCCCACAGTGGTCAGGAACCCATGATGTTCACTTGGTTTCGACAGGCCAATTTCTGAAGTGACATTGCACATTCCCAGTTTTGAAATGCATGTTGCTGATTTTCAAGCATTTAATGCTGCTTGACTATGCGACATAATGCAGATATTCGAGTTTATTATATTAAAGAGCATTCAAGAATTGCTTGAATTTCTGCTTGGTAGGCCAGTAACCCATGGATATTGAGATATCTATCCCTGGCCCAGTTACCCCTGCTCCAGCACGATTGTTCAATCTTAAACCGTCTGTATAAAAAACAGTTGAACCCGGACGGATGTTTGGTCCCCCACTTTCCTTACGATCAAATTCTGTTGCATTGTATAAACTTTCGAAATGATGTTTTTCTCCATCCAGTCAGTCAAGATAATCAATATCAAACATTTTTAGAATACCAAGGTGTCCGATAACCTCACCTTGAAGGAAGTACCTTGTCCGTTGAACCCTAAAAATGCTCCTTTCAGCTTCTAAATCTATATACTGATACAACGGAAGCAGATAAAGTACACGCAAACCAAAAATCTATTCCAATGAATGTTAGTTCCGTTTCCTATCATGCTCTGTTCATGAACATCGCAACGAATGTTAGAAATTGACCATGCAGGCGATGTAATGGTTTTTTGCCTTTTTTTATTTCGTGTTCTATCTAAGCTTTCGACTATACCAGTAAGATTGTAGAACGACGCACATTGTAGAACATTGTAGAATGACGCACTTGCCTCGAATCTCTCCAGCAGAAAAAGCATACGAAGTCGAGTATGCGATAAAATGAGCGCTTCATGTTTGCTTTTAGGCTATCCAGATTCAGAAGCATGGAGAGAGCAGTGGAGAAAGCACAGGTCTGATAATCGCAACGTTCGTGGTTCGAGTCCTATCGGCAATCTGTTTCCTATTTTTTCGACATAACTAATTTACCTCACTAATACACTCTACATTTTTCGGGCTCCAATTTTCTTGCATTGGATCGGGGGGAGAGGTAGCTCATCGATTCTTCCGGTTCGCCTCCTAGCATCGTGCTATAAGGTACCAGGCGATAACCAGGGTAGTTGATCGATAGCTCGATGACGTCATTTCGTTGGCGTCTGCAATGGGAAATTCTCATAGCAGGCGTTGACGATGGGACGTTGTCGAGTTGTTGAATAGCAACTATCGTGGTAACTCACCGATTACCTCTCGATCTGCCAAATTTGGAAAGACGTCTGCATTGAAATGTCTCATATAATAATATTCCGCCCACTATATCACAAGAAATTGCGGGTAGCTGAGTGGAATGGAGATAAGTTAAGCATTGGGTACAGGACCAAGTCTCCCCTGGGTGGTGCCAAAAGATGAGCGCAATAGAATCATCAAGTTGCCATAAGGCACGGAATGAGACTATTGCATGGCTGGGTAGTCAAAGTCTTCCATTCGTTAGTCATTTCAGGTGGATTAGAACAGGTTTAGGTTTAGGGTGGGCGTTGGCCAGATTTGGATTTTTCAAATGTAATCCTGGATAGGACCCTGTCATTGAACGTCGCGTGAAAGTGGAACTTAATGAAGGCCTAAGTACTTTTTCGTAGTTTTTAGTTTTCGGATTTGAAAGATCGTCGGTTACAGTGGCCTGCTTACTGAGCAGAAAAACGCGGTCCCAGGTCCTTACATATCAAAAAAAATTATGGTAAAATCGCTTGTGTATCGTGTATTTTGCGAAACTCGTTGTTGTCGTTGGTTCCGGGTTTGAATGGATACACAAATTTGAGCAACGGTATTATGTGACATGAGGGGCTCGGTGGCCTTAGAGCAACCGTTTTTGCTTACTCAAGATTCGTCAATCGTTTTATTTGTTAATATGACTACATGGTAATAACAGCAACTCGGTGATTAAAAAGGTGCTCGTCTGCCTAGTGGCAAACGTTTTTGCTTACTGAGCAGAAGACCGTGGGTTTAGTCCCAAGCCCCTTCGCGTTATATGATCGTTAGGACATCAATTCAGCTTATCGTTTACCAAAACGAACCCTGCTGCAAACCCAACCCTCTTATCCAACATCCCAGTGATTCCTCGTGGAAGTGCAGAGGTGTTCTCGGCTTCCATCAAAGCGAGTGTCATGTCAACACAATCCTTCCCATTCCTTTCTTGACCTGTGTTCGGGCGCGGCCGGCGCTGGTATTGCCTAATTTAAGATCACCAGTTTTTACACATTGAGGATGATTGCTAGTCCCAAGCATCGTCTATTGGTTCTCTGTGTAATTACAGCTGATCTGGCAGTAACAGAGTAGCAACCGTGGGCGGTCAATCAAGCTCAAGCTCAAGCAAGCTCCAATTTTCTTACATTGGATCGCAGCTAGGTATATCGCATCCTCGGTTCATGCGGTCTCCACTAACATCCTCTGATGATGAATCCCACATAATTGTAAGCGAATCTTACATCCTCCGGTTGGGTTGGGTTGGGTGTAGAGCAACTAGTGCCATACTTGAGAAAGTAGCAAGTCTTTGAAGTCAGTCTCCTCAGCTTTTTCTGAGCCGATTTTTCATTAGTTTTCGGTCACAAAACCAATGATGGGTAGAATATTCTGGGTCTTACAATCGTCAAAATAAAGCCAGTGGATTATTTTCGGTTTTAGGCCCCATTTCCTACCACAAGTTTATTTACTTATCCAAAGAGCATTTGTTGCCTTATTAACAACCTGCTCTAGATGTAAATTCCAGTTACGTTTACCGTCAAGAATTAAACCCAGATACTTGACTGTACGTGAAAGTTCTACAGATGTTCCTTTCAATTTTATGTTATTTATAGAAAATTTTATTCCGTGTGAACGGCACAATAGTGGTCATAGAAGGTTTTTTAGACGCATTTCACGCCAAATCGAATCGAAGCTGGCAACGCCCTCTCAGATTTCAATGAAATTATATGGACTTTGACTAAATTAGTACTTTTGCATACTCAGTTTTTCCAAAATTTATCTAGACTAACATTTGAGAAGGGTCAAACTTGTTCTGCCGATTTTTTTCAAAAAAATATTATTGAAAAATGACAACTCCTACAAAAATATGTTGTATTGATGACTTTTAGGAAATTGTTCATGTTTTCGAAAAAAATATTGAAAAACATTCCATTTGAGACCTACACTGAAAAAAAAAACCGATTTTTAAAATTTAAAGTCGATTAAAAGAATGGCCATGTTTGATTTGGATAAAACTTTGCCTCAAGGTAGGGAATCATGTTTACTACCATCCGTCCATACATTGCGAGATGGGCACATTTTTTTTATCTAGTTCGTTTATTTGGAAGGCTCAATCGCGTTAGCTTTACGGAGCCGATAATTCATTGTGAGATGGGCACATTTAAGGACTTTTTCATATC